GGATTTTATTTTACGAATAATATCCGATAATTAAAGGCTACGCGGCGTGTATTTTTCGTCACTTCGATGGTAAGTACAGAAGTGCTGTATAATGACGGTGCCAAAGTAATCTGCACATTCATGTCTCGTTCCTCTAGACCCAAATGACATCTTTTACTATACCAGAACATACTTACCTAAGTGATAAAGCATTAACGATATTTCAGTCTCTATCTCACTTGTGGGGTGTAGTTGGTCATAATGTTTTTGGTCTTTGTTGTTCGTATCCAATTTTCCAGACTAAAGCACTTTGTGCTACAGTTGTTTACTCTGCCAATTATATTTAAAATAGTATATTACTTTTTGTATCTTATGCTACTCTGGCTGTACTACAGCATATTATAGTTCAGTTGTATAGTTAGATATAATTATATATTAATCATATGTAATTAGTCCGATAAAATGAAATAACTCTGCGTTAAACTTACTCTGTTGGCAAAACAGAGTTATGGCTTATGAATGTAGTTCGTTTGTTTCATCACAATAGTACAGGTTCCCAAAATATGGCTGGCCCCAACGTTTAGATAGCTATGCAAATTCTGTTACGATTAATTGAATCAAACGATTTGTACCTTTCATATGAGAGAATTTTTCGTTTAATAATAGGTAGTAACCCACCACTACCTTGGTTCTCCTTGAATGAGCGGCGCTTAATACAGAGGACCGGTGGATTGGTCTCTTCTTGGCAGCCATTTCGAAAAAACGTTTAACAGTAATCTGATTTCTGTATGCTTATTACGTTATCCTAATAATTTGTTTTTCGAACTTTTTTGAATGAGCTGTTTAGGTGTGACGTTCTGCGAACAAATCAGCACCGAGGAGTTCGATCGACAGAATCTGGAGGCTTCAGAGCAGGCGTTGATGAAGCTGGTTTGCGACGTCATTGACAATACGAACCTGATGCTGGAAGAGAAAATCAAGTGGCTCGAGCGTTTCAAGGCCGAATACCCGCGACTGTACGAAAAACATTTCAAGCACATACGATGGTGAAAATGCGCCGCACGTCTCCTACTCAACTTTTGTGTTGTACATGTACTTCTCTACTGTAACAGCATTATCTGTATTCGCTGTTGATTTATTTTTATCGATTGAAAATAAACTTCTTTACCTTTAACACCGGTACATGAAAAGGTCGTTGTTTTCCGGCAGGTGCGAGCTACAGCAAACGTGAAGAACTGGTCGGTTCTGCTGAAAGGAATAACCAATGTAATGGAATAGATACTCTGTCTTGATTCGGGCAAAGGAGGGGGTGCACCAAGATTGTTCGTTATCGCTTACCTTAGTTAATACCTAGTTAATCTTTAGAGAAGCACACTCATCGAAACGGTTCGAGGGTCAGATAAATGCCATATGATCGTAGCGGAACTTCGTCTAAAATTTGATCACCTGACGTCGGTTGGTTGAAATACCAGCTTCTAGATGTTGGCAGGCTACGGTATGACGAAATCGTCGATTTACCACAGAAGTCGAGGATTGCTTTAGTGTCCAGTCGGGAAATGGTAATGTCGATAAAGCTT